TATGTACTGATTTTTAAAATTTATTTAAGAGTCATTCTTTTAGTTCAGTAAATAGAGACCCAGGAAGAAAACAGAGGTCCATTCTAGAATGGAAGCTCAAAGAAAACAGGAGAAATAGGACTTTTTTTGTTCCCAAAACACATTCTCATGAGTCATCCTGGGTACTGGTTACTCTCTATTTAGGTCAGTCAGCACTAGTCCTTAATCAATAGTCTAATCATAGTTACTGCAAGAGGCTAGGTTCAGTGGTTCTCTCTTTTCCTATTGTTTTTCTAAGTCCCATACTGTTTTTAAGAGTGGTAGGAAGTATACCTTGACCTTGTAAGTTCTCATAATATTTTATTTTATTCTTCCTACACTACTTTCTCCTCATATAACAAACTACTGAGCTGTAAGTAGCATACTTAAAATGTTATTTTATAATAAACCAAGTTGCAAAGCTTTATGATGACTCATCTTCTTGTAATGTTCTGTGAACCCTCTCTCTCTTCTTTTTTGCGGGTGCTAGTTTTTGTTTCTCTTGGGTGAAACAAATACCATTTACCAGGAGGTAATGTGCCTTTAAAGGTTTTATTTACTTTTTTTTTTTCAACGTTTATTTATTTTTGGGACAGAGAGAGACAGAGCATGAACGGGGGAGGGGCAGAGAGAGAGGGAGACACAGAATCGGAAACAGGCTCCAGGCTCTGAGCCATCAGCCCAGAGCCTGACGCGGGGCTTGAACTCACGGACCGCGAGATCGTGACCTGGCTGAAGTCGGACGCTTAACCGACTGCGCCACCCAGGCGCCCCAGGTTTTATTTACTTTGATGAATGTCGTTTTAGAAAGTGTTTATGTGCATTTTTTTATAGTTACTTATTTTTCTTCTTGTTCTGTGTAAACATTGCACTTGTTTGGTCCTCAGTATATGAGTTGTCATTATATCACATTTCATACTAATTTAAGCATATATTTTATCTTTGTCATATTTATTTTCTCTGAGTGGCATACAGTATTTTTCTATATTTATAATTAAATTTCCAAACAAAACCTAGCTTTTTCTTTTGTTGTATGTTTTTTTCTTTCTGGAAAGCAAGTAAGTTAACTCTGGATATTGAATATATTCATAAAGATGGAGGTTTTTCCACATGAGGCCAGTGTTTGCTAGGAAGAATATTATTAATAATAATAGCATAGAATTATGTAAGTTTTTACTGTTGGCAAAGCACTTTCATATATTGTCTGTGCTTTTCATTAGGTCTGATCTCAGTAGCTTTTTGTACAAAGTACCATGTTAAATGTAGAAAGTAGGAAAGGAAATATTTCCAGTGCTTCTGTGCTACTGGAACCATGTAGTAATAAATGATATTTGTTGGATTTGAATGCTTCTAGCTAATAATCAGATTATGCAGTATGCTTTTTAACTCCACTATTAGTGTTAGTTCCCTTGTATCTAGTGTTCAGACTACAAGATCTTCAGGATCTGTATTTGGTCCCTTAATCCCTTACGTCAGCCATTTTGGCCTAATATCCTTAGAAAATAGATAACTAGTTTCCCAAGCTCTCTAGGGACTATGTTAGTACTCAGTCATTCAGAGCACATTATGCTGCTTTTGCCATCACAACACTCTGCAAGGGGTCCTGACACATCTCTTTGGTCTACTTTCTAGGTTTTTCAGAGCTTGTTTCAAGATCGATCTTTCATTCTGGCAAGGAAACTTTGTATTTCTAATGACAGGAGAGGGAGATATATTCATGTAATAAAGTTATAGGATAAATTGACTAGAGCCATTAAGTGACTAAGGCTTAGAAATGAAGGTGGAGGGAAAGGATAGGGTCAAGGGAAGGAAACTGTTAAGAGGATGATTTGAAGAACAGTATTAATACTAAAGAGAGAAACAGCTTCATGAATTTCCATCTTTTATATGTTTTCAGTTCTTTCTCCTACACCTTACTACCATATGCCTCTTCTCTGTGTTTTGATTTTACTGTTTATTTGCAGCAGAAATCATGAAAAAATTGAGTTTATTCTCCCCCACCCCCTTTTTAAAAATGACCTTCATAATTGTCCTATGAAGACTAACTTTTCCACCAATATAGGATATCATCACTAAGATGATTTCTTCTTTGAGCCATATGTATGAAACCAACATTGTTAAATAGAAGGACTTCCTCTGCATCCTTGCCAACACCTGTTGTTTCTTTTTGTTAAGTTTACCATTCTGACTGGTGTGAGGTGATATCTCACTGTAGTTTGGATTTGTATTTCCCTGACAATCAGTGATGTTGAACATCTTTTCAAGTATCTGCTGGCCATCTGCATGTTTTCTTGGAAAAATGCCTATTCGTCCATTTTTTAACTGGATTATTTGGTTTTTGGGTGTTGAGTTTTATAAGTTCTTTACATATTTTGGGTATTGGCCCTTTGTCAGATGTGTCATTTGCAAATAACTTCTTCCATTCCGTAGGTTACCTTTTACTTTTGCTGATTGTTTCTTTCACTGTGCAGAAGTTTTTTTATTTTGATGAAGTCCCAATAGTTTGTTTCCCTTGCCTCAGGAGACATATCTAGTAAGAAGTTGCTATGGCCGATGTCAGAGAGGTTACTGCCTGTGCTCTCCTCTAGGATTTTAATGGTTTCCTGTCTTACATTTAGGTCTTTAATCCATTTTGAATTTGTTTTCATGTGTGCTATAAGAAAGTGGTCCGGTTTCATTCTTTTTCATGTTGCTGTCCAGTTTTCCCAACACCATTTGTTGAAAAGACTATCTTTTTTCCATTGGATGTTTTTTCCTGCTTTGAACCACAACCCATTTAGTTGTGGGTCTATTTCTGGGTTTTCTATTCTGTTCCATTGATCTTTGTGTCAATTTTTGTGCCATTAAAATACATGTATTTGTAAATGTATGTGTAGAATCATATGGGAATAGCTGTATGCTTCACACTCTGAAACCACGGTGTATAATGTCTTTCAAGTGTCATCTTCTTTCATTAGAAGTTTCTACACATATGTGTAGACATATATGTGAAAGCTATATGCTTAGCTGTGTATAAACTGTTATTCAAATAACACCTTCTTTCATTGGTATATATGTTTGTAAACATATGTATGAAACACATGGGAATAGACCTATTCTTACCTGAATGAAACTACACAGTATGTAATGCGTATTTCAAGTAACAACAATGACAAAAAGAAAGACTTGATTTTACTTCAGTTTAAAATGATCAAAATGGTGAATCACTTTAATGAATGAACCAATTTCTCTTGCTAAGGAGGACTACTGTAGAATTTAAATACAAAATGAGATTTTTAGAAATGAGAATAGAGATACCAATGAGAGAGAAATGTTTTATAATGTTTTCTTGTGTTAATGATTATTTTTGTAATATGTTAGTAACAGAAACTGCCCAGATTTTTCTAAAGTTACAAAGTTTTCCCCTGAAAAGCCATTAGCTTAAAGCATGATTCATAACATACAAAACAAAAAAATTATTTCGGGATTCATTCAAAGTATATATTAGAAATTCTTTGAGAAACGTATATCAGGGACATTTAATCAGTTCTGCTTAACGTGACTATGCCTTCTGAAAGCCAGAGGTGAGAAGTGGTGTTGTGTCAGATTCTTCAGTTCCTGTAAAATCTTCCACAAGTAGATTGACACTACTGTGGCTCTATTATGCTGAATGTATTATTTCTGAACCTTTTGCAATTGGTGTCCATCTAAAACTACATTTTTTGTTTGTTCATTTTATTTTCTGTGTGTTCTGTTCTGAATTTTTTAATTACACCCAAGCTATCTTACTTGACACATTTGGTTTTATAATTATATATGGGAAAAAAATCCAAAAGTAATTGTTTTTTATAAATGATTAATGAATGACTTTTGCCAGAATTATTTTTTCTGAAGATGTAACCATAAAAATTAGAAAGTTCTTTTGTTCATGGCTAATCAATAAATATTTATTGACCAACTGCTTGAATATGCCTCAGTCTATTTGGACTGCTATAACAAAACTCTATAGATTGGGTAGTTTATAAACAACATAAATTTATTTCTCACAGTTCTGGAGGTTTAAGTTCAGGATCGTGGTGCCAGCATGGTAGGACAAGGGACTTCTTCCTGGTTCATTGCAGGCACCTTCTTGCTGTGTCCTCACATGGTGGAAGGGGCTAGGGATCTCTCTGCAGGTTCTCTTAAGGCACCAATCCCATTTATGAAGGCTCCATCCTCATGATTTAAGCACTTCCCAAAGGCCTTACCTCCTAATACCATCATCTTTGGGGGTTAGGATTTCAACATAAGAATCTGGGGTAGATACAAACATTCAGAGCATAGCAAGGTACACATTTTTCTTCCATTTGAGGAAACAAGAATATAATCTGGTACCCACCAAAAATAGCTTAGAGTTTCCTATTGAAGGTAAGAGAGAAGCAGCCTAGGTTTCAGGATAGGAGACTGTTGACAAAACTAATATTAAATGATATATCAAAGTTAATATAGATTTTCATTTTGCTGAAATAGGAGCAAACTCTAATTGAGTTATGATCTGCAAAGGCAGATATTCATTTGTATGGTGATATGAAAACTAAGATATTAATTTATGTTTTAAATAGGATTCAATATTGCATTTCTGTCTAGTTCGTTATGTCAGTTTAAGATGTTAACCACAGTGTTGCATACCTCGGGCCCTTTCCACTGTACTTCTATGATAATGGGAAAACAAGAACTAATTAAATGAGAAAACAAACCATAGCTAACACTTATGTTTGATTTTGAATTAGGGTGATTGCATATTTAGTTACCACTTTAAGTATTATAACTGTTTTTGTTCACTTGTTTTGTATTGGTTTTTGGATAAAAGTCTTCTAAAATCTGATCTTTCAAAAATGCAAACTTACTTACCTTAGAATATATGCATTTAAGTTAAACTTTTCTTAATTGACTTATTCTTTTTCTGTTCTGTGTAACAGTGATATTCTTAGTGCTTTAATTTCTCCCTTATCTAAATCCCTACATGGCTATGTATTTCTAGATGCCTTTTTTTTTTTAAATTATTTCTTCAGGTTTTCATTTTGTAGTATGCAGACTTACAGCAAGAGCTACATACTTACTTACAACATAGAGCTAATCTAAGCAAATTGGGGAGTTTGTAGGTGAAAGTAGATAACATATTTATTGAGTCAAAAAAAGCCTCAAATACTCATTGCCTAGTTATCCACATGACTGGCTTCCTTACTACTGGTCTTTCTTTAAAAAACACCTTTTTTTAAAAAAAAATTTTTTTTCAACGTTTTTATTTATTTATGGGACAGACAGAGACAGAGCATGAACGGGGGAGGGGCAGAGAGAGAGGGAGACACAGAATCGGAAACAGGCTCCAGGCTCCGAGCCATCAGCCCAGAGCCTGACACGGGGCTCGAACTCACGGACCGCGAGATCGTGACCTGGCTGAAGTCGGACGCTTAACCGACTGCGCCACCCAGGCGCCCCAAAAAACACCTTTTTAGAGACCCCCTTCCCTGGCTACCCTATCTAAAATTTCAGCTACCACCCCCCCCAATAGTTGATGTCCTCTTTTCTTGCTTTTTTTTCTTTTTCTTCAGCACTTACCACTAATATATATGGTATATATTTAATTTTCATCTTGCTTCTTAACTGTCTGTTACCCTTGTCTTATACCCTTCCTCTGTGGAATCCTAGAATATAAGCTTCATGAAAGCTTGGATTTTGGCTGGGTTTTACAACCCTATCCTCAGCCCTGAAAACAATGTATGGCACATAGAAGGTGCCCCATAAATATTTTTCGAAATAATTACTGAATGGAGGAATGAAAAGAAAGATGCTAGTAAGAGAGATGTTAAGGAGAGAGATGTGGCAAGTGGTTGGATGAAGACCAAAATTAATGAGTAGTGATGGTTGTGGAGTTGGAGAGGAATGGATAGATCTGAGAGATATTTAGGAGGTAAAAACACTGGATGAAACTGATACTTATTAAAACACTATTTTTATGTTAGACACTGTGTTAGGTAATGGGGATACAGAAAAGAAATAACCTGTGGTAAAAGAGCTCTCTGGAATAAAGGTATCTATTTTAGAGATAATGTATAGATTGCTTTGGGCTAATAGTAAGGAAACACTTATGCCTGGTGTTTCACAGAAGATATATAAAGCTTATATACATTTTCAGAGTTTTCTAAGTGGATAAGTAGAGGAAAGGCATTCTAGCTAGAGAGAACTATTTGTAGAAAGGCAAAAAAGCAAGAGAAGGCAACATTTGTTCAGGGAGGCAAAAGTTCAGAACATGAAGGAATGTCTAAGGAATGCTAATAACATAGGAACTTTATCCTGTTGGAGATTGGAAACATTGGTCATTTCCTCTTTCTCATTACCTTCAGGTTGGTGTGGAATCTGAAGTTAAAACTCATTTGGGGGTAGAGATGGAAAGATGGACAGTTGGGTTTGATGAGATAAGGTTTTCATTTGAAATGTTCACCAGCAGAAAGAAGAGACTAGAAAGAGGTAGGTACTAGATATGGAGATTGAATATATCACACAAGTGATATTTAAACCCTTGAGAATAGATATGATTGTTAAGGCAGATAAAAGAGGTTCTTGGATAACACATTGAATATCAAAGCTGTAAAAGAATTTGGGAGATAGAAAAAGAAAGGGTTAGAGAAGTTGGTAGGTATGTAAAGTAAGTTGGAATGAATGGCTACCTAGTCTAATCTGCTTCATTACTTTTGGCCCATTGGCCCGGGGTTTGAAGGAAAAGGTTGTTTTCTGGCTCTGTGAACAGCTCAAGTGAAAGGCAAAAATGATTTATAACATCTTTAATACCTGGACTATTTTCTTCTTTATGTTTAGAATTAACTTTTCCCTTGCTATAATTAATAACATTTCATCCAAATTCCAAAACGCCCACTTGCAATATATGCATTATTTAATCTAGAAACTTAAATTAAAAAAAAAATGACTTTATTTAAAAGCTTTACATTGCTATTGCTTTATGTAGAGTAAACTTTACCACATAGATCCAGTTAATCAAACTAATACTATATCACTACTAATCTTGACAGATTTATTTACAAAAAGGAATTCCAAAGAAATTGCCCAGTTTAAATTATTTTTTAATATTTATTTTTGAGAGAGAGAGAGAGAGAGAGAGAGAGCGAGCGCGTGAGCAGGGGAGAGGCAGAGAGAGACACACAGAATCCGAAACAGGCTTCAGGCTGCAAGCTGTCAGCCCAGAGCCTGACCCAGGGCTCGAACTCTGAAAGGAGAGATCATGACCTGGGCCAAAGTTTTATGCTTCACGACTGAGTCACCCAGGTGCCCCCTGTTTTGAATTGCCAGCTTTGAACTAGAGGTTACCCATCTCTGGTCCATTATTTGAATTTTGTTGTATTTCTTTCCATGTGTTTATAGCTTCAATGCTTTGGGCTAATATTCAACCTATTAGTTGACTTATTACCTTTCAGAGACTTAATTTCCATGTAAATTAAGTAACAGAATACCTACTTAAGTTGTGAATTTTAATTTTGTCTTTTTGGACCTACTTGATGAATTATATATAATGTTCATACCTAATGGAAAAAAGAAAGGATCTTCCTGCATATGAGTTTCCATTGAATGATCTGTAGGCGTTGTTTTTTTTGTTTTGTTTTTCTTTTTTTGAGAGAGAGAGCATGCATGCACCTGGGAGAGAGAGAATCTTAAGCAGACTCCATGCCTAGGGCGGAGTGCCAAGCCCACTGAGGCTTGGTCTCAGGATAGTGAGATCCCAACCTCAGCTGAAATCAAGAGTTGGACTCTTAACTGACTGAGCCACCCAGGCATTTTCTTATGGCAACTGTTTTAATCGAGGTATAAACCTCTCTTCCATATTTATATATTGATGGTATTGTATAGATTTGGTAAAAAAAAAAAAAAAAAAAAGGAAAATAAGGAAATAAATTTAAGAGCAGAAAACTAACTAGGAATACTAGTCTACTCTCAAAATGAATGAATGTTGCTAAAAGGTACACTTTATACCATACTTATAGTCAATGAGAACATTTAAAATAAGAATAATTTAGCTTACATATACATAATGTTCAAAATTGAAAAGTAGAGTTTGATGTTTTAAGAGAGGCATTCAGGGTGTATGTTTTTTGTAAATTTATTGTCATTTGCTGAAAATTAACATGAATGTGTATGCTTGCTATAAACATTTTCAAGATGCTTAAAAATCAGACACGTATTTTGTATAGTTTTTCCTCAGATAATATTACTGCTAGAGATAGAAACTTAATTGTTGTTTTGCAATGGACATTTTATATGAATCTTTGGGGTTTTGTTTTTTCATGTTTTGTGTAAAAGTTCAAAACGGAACAGAAATTACGCATTCACTGTTTTTCTTTTTATTAAAATCAGGGATATATGATTTCCTGTAAGAATGTGAATGGGGAAACTAAATTCTTTCAAATGAGTTTCCTGATCAGATTTTATAGGTAAGGCTTTATTATTTAATTATATTAGATGACTTGGGGATGTGTTGACCATCAACAGAAGTTTTTAGACTGTAATTTAAAGTGGCACTGATGGTGTTTTAGGAGAGTACAAAAACATTAAATTGACAAAATGCATCAATTAGTCTTTGATGGTTTTGCTTTTTGTTATGTTAATTTATTCTCATGACTCAGAAATGAGAGCTCTTTTAGATTCTATTCATTTACAATGCAGGTCAGTGGACTTTAGATCAACATGTCTGTGAATAGATATTTGTGGTTATCTTGAACATTTGAAATTGTTTAGATTTCCCCCCAGTTTTCATAACATTTTATTATATTGATTTTGTTAGATTGCAGAAGAAAGGCATACTCATATACTTTGATATTCATTTTTGTACTTTTTTCTTTCTAATCTAATGATGGGGAAAATGTTCAAGTTATATCAAATTACTTATGGATCTTTTATATGCTCTAAAATTTTTTTTTTTAAATTTTTTTTTCAACGTTTATTTATTTTTGGGACAGAGAGAGACAGAGCATGAACAGGGGAGGGGCAGAGAGAGAGGGAGACACAGAATCGGAAACAGGCTCCAGGCTCTGAGCCATCAGCCCGGAGCCCGACGCGGGGCTCGAACTCACGGACCGCGAGATCGT